AGGCCCTTTCTCAGGGCTGTGTTTCCAGCAAAAAACCTTGAGAGATGAGGTAATGTCTTCCTCTGGACAATGAGGAAACTTGCTCACTGCGTGCTGTAAAAGTGCTAGACTCCCAAAGCTCAGCCTTCCTGCATTGCCATAAAGGAACACTGTGCACTGGCCTCGTTTGGGCCCAGATCACATCACCTCCACGCTCACAGTACTAACAATACCTGAAATCTTGAACCTAATTGTATAACGCTCTCTCCAGAGAAAAGAAATAACAAAGTTCCAGTTCGGTATGCCAGAGGAATCCCCTTCACACTTTTTTTTTTTTAAAGATTTTATTTATTTATTTGAGACAGAGAGAATGAGAGAGAGAGAGCACATGAGAGGGGGGAGGGTCAGAGGGAGAAGCAGGCTCCCTGCCGAGCAGGGAGCCCGATGCGGGACTCGATCCCGGGACTCCAGGATCATGACCTGAGCCGAAAGCAGTCACTTAACCAACTGAACCACCCAGGCGCCCCACACTATTTCTAACACCTGCAGGCAGGTGGAAAGGGATATCCCCTGGCACCCAGCTTCTCATGATGGCTTTAGTGACCAGGACAGAGACTCCCAAAGGCTAGGGACCGGGCTGGGAGGGATCAAGGTCTCCAAGTAAAGAATTAGAAAGAGTGCAAGAATAAAGGGTTTATAAGATGCTTAATGGGGTGAATGGGCTAAGAGGAAGGCCTGAGGCCTCCTGTCAGGAGAGCCTGTACCCTTGATCAGCCTCCCATTTGATATTTCTCATTCTGACCTAGCTCCTTATCATTTTCTTTCCATTGTCACTGCCTACTGACTTCCATTAAGGGTTTTTGCTCCACCTGGGTCCACTGCGGAGGTCGCAGAATATAATTTCACCACTTTTTTTTCCTGGTCTTTTATCCCAAACAAAATAACCATAACAATATTAACTCCACAGCCCTAAAACTGGGGCCATAATGTTTCATGAACTTTATGGAATTATAATGGGTACAGAGTAGTAGTTACAGCTTTCAAGTCCTTGGTTTGATGTCTGGCAACATTCAATAGCCCTTTAAAGAAAGATAAGCACCCTCTCCTATGAAGGCAACTTTGCAGTTCCAACATTGCCTTTTACTAAGAAACTGCGTAAGAGAATTTCTACACTGAAATGAGAGACCATGTTCATTTTTTCCATCACGATCAGAGCCAAAAACCAACCATATTTCTTGAAAACTTAGGTGGGGTTTCCAAGAGTTAAACAGAACAGATTTACCAGCAAAAGGCAGGAAGAGTGAGATTATAATTTGAACCAGGCAAACTGTTTCATAACAGAAAATGTGGCACTTAATGCAGTTTGCAGAATATGGTATGCAAAAAACGTTACTTAGGGCAGTAGCGGGCCTCTAGAGAGTGAAACTAGCCAAATTCTAAAAGAACAAAAAAGGTAGGAAAAAAGAAGCCATGTCAGCATTATAAAGCCACAAAAGACTGATACGCTTTCTTTTGCTGAATTACAGCTTTTTCACCAGGCTTTTGGTTTAAAAGCACAAAAAGCACATAATGAAAAATTTTTCTTTTTGGCCATTTTGAATCAGAAATTTATACTACTTCAAATTTATCATAATTTAATAGGACTTCAGTCTAACAAACACATGCACTATTAAGGTCAACCAAGTTACTAACACAGGAGACTATACCAGCAGATCAAAGTTTCCTGCAGCTCCTTCTGGAACAAATTTACTTTGGGTTCCTGAGCGGCTTGGCCAGCTGATAGGACAGACTGATGTTTCTTTACTTGAAATAAACATTAAGTCAAAATTTCTACCAGAAAACTCATACGAAAAGGCCTGGCTCACTTCCTGATGCGCTGGCCAAGGAAAAATAAGCACAAAACCTCAATGCAGTTTGACTAGAAAATTTATTCTAATCACCTTTAGGTCTCTTGCACTAGACACACAGTACATGAAATCTTTCTTCTATAATACTGTCAACTCTAAATTCTGGAAAGCAGTAACAATGCTAGCCAATAAATATTGCTAAAAAAAAAATACCTCTTGGTCCTCTACTTATGCATCTCACATATCCCCCAGTTCAGTGTTGACTGAGACTTCATCGGTAAATTATTCACCAAATTTACAGGGCACTCTTAAGGATGCAAGAGCACAGGGGTGCCTGGGTGGCTCAGTTGTTAAGCGTCTGCCTTCGGCTCAGGTCATGATCCCAGGGTCCTGGGATTGAGCCCCACGTCGGGCTCCCTGCTCCGCGGGAAGCCTGCTTCTCCCTCTCCCACTCCCCCTGCTTGTGTTCCCTCTCTTGCTGTGTCTCTCTCTGTCAAATAAATAAGTAAAATCTTAAAAAAAAAAAAAAAAAAGTATGGATGCAAGAGCAGAACAAACATGGTCTTTCACACCAAAGAAGTTATAGTGAATGTCTGACTAGCTGGTCAAAAAATAATTAATTGAAATGTTTAGATATTACAAAATGGGTCAGCAGAATACAATGATGAGTGCCAACATTAAGATGCTCATTATTCAGATATTAGCCTAGAAGAAAAAAGAAAAAGGCTTCCTCCTGCTTTTTGTTTTTTAAGATTTTATTTATTTGTCAGACAGAGAGAGAGACAGAGCACAAGCAGGGGGAGTGGGAAGCAGAGGGAGAAGCAGGCTCCCCGCTGAGCAGGGAGCCTGATGCAGGACTCGATCCCAGAACCCTGGGATCATGACCTGAGCCGAAGGCAGATGCTTAACCAACTGAGCAACCAGGCGTCCCCTTCTTCCTGTTTTTAAAGAACTTTAGGATGAGAAGAAACCTTTCTATAGTGTACCTGCACCTTTTCTAGCTGAGCCCTCTGGAATAACCCAGAACAATCATTCTGTTTTCCACACATCAACCTTCGTGTCCTGGAATCAGCTCCCAGACCTATGTTCAGTGTTCTCTTCTTCAGTTTAAAGAGTCATTCCAACCCTTAAACCATTCCTCTACCTAGGACATAGTTTCAAGACATCTTCCCTATCCTTGCCACACACCTCTGGACTGTCCCACGATCAGATATTAGAAGGCCAAGAATACAGACTAACACTATGCAAATAATTTAACAACTGTGACATACTGTTGATCTATATTTTTTTAAGTTCTAATTAGTCTTTACCTTTTTTCATGTCTAAGATATTTCATAATAAATAGTTTAAATGTCCTAACATGATATAAAGACAACTTTGAGGGGCACCTGGGTGGCTCAGTCAGCCGAGCGCTCGACTCTGGATTTCGGCTTGGGTCATGATCTCAGGGTGGTGGGACTGAGCCCCACATCAGGCTCCGTGGTTGGTGGGGAGTCTGCTTGATATTCTCTCTCTCCCTCTCTCTCTGCCCCTATCCCATAAAAAAGATGACTTTGAATATTTTCTATTGCTAGTTCCGTTTGGGAGTATCACAGAAGAAACATTCCAATTCATAATTTAAAGAGAATTAAAAGGAAATTTTAAAGGATCATTTTAAAAATACTCTCATCATTCTTAGCTGTCTCAGTCTCCTATGAAACACATTCCCTTTCTTTTACTGGCTGTATAACTTTTTAATTGAAAACAGCACAGGATATTTTTGGACTTTTGTTGTTACTTACTTATTGTGGAAATTTTCCCACACACCAAAAGGAGAGAAAGATTACCAACAATTTTGATGATTATCAACATTTTGCCGATCTTGTTTCCTCCATCCTGTGCTCCTCGCCCCCTGCCCCAGAGTATTTTAAGAAAATTCCAGCATCATATCATTTCATCTTCAACTGAAACACTTACTGTGTATTAGTGCCTATTACGCCATAACCACTGTGCTTAACCTTCTCTAGTGCTCAAAATAAATGAACATTAACAGTCAAGGCTAATCCTGTACTATCCATGTCTATTCTCGTTCGACTCTAATTTTCTTCAATGTCTGGATAAACACTGTTTTCAAAACCTATATAAACTATGAGAATTACTGTAGATCTTCAAAGTTCTACTTTCATCAGATAATATTCCTTTGTTATGGGTCTTTAAAATATTGCTGATTGAAATTACTTAGTTGTGTTCATTCAACAGTGGAACAATTTCACTACTGGGCTACTAACATGCTGGTTAATAAATTATGGTACATCAGATAATACTGCAATAACCTTAATAACTCACAAAATTTTGAAAGTATTTTGCACTACCTAAAGAAAAGGTAGAGGAGCAACATTAACAACCCATAATATCTACTTTTATTTTAAAGAAAACACATACGGGTTTGCCTTCCCAGTAACAATTTAAGAGAATCCACTGTCAAAATGATTATTTGACTTTAATTTCATTAAACTTTAGGCCCATAATATTCAATTACTACTTAATACATAACATGAGATATTTCTGTATCACTTTTAAAGAAAGCAAAAATTAGCTGGCAAATGCTATAATTGGCTTTAAGGAAGACAGGTCTTAGGAAACTTTCTGTGATTTATAAATTATTAAAAAAACAAAAACAAAAACAAAAACCCTAAGACATGCTAGAAAATCTGAGGATTTGCAAAGATGGGAATAGCAACTAATCATTAAGAGAGAGAACTCCTAACAGTAGCAAGTCATCATTATGCAGTGGTGAAAACCCTTCAATAAGTCAAGAGAGAAGGTAAATATAAACCCTGACAAAAAAATAGTCTACAGACTCTTATCTGGGAATTGCCAAAAACATTTCAATCAGGAGACATGGAAGAGTCTTGGAAAATACTACCGTCTGACTGGGTTGGGGGAGGGCCTTGAAGAATGTGAGAAGAGGGTTTGAAAGAAGGAGTTACAGAGGAAAGTATGTGTACATCCCTTTTCATCAAACAACTTCAGACTTTTTACAACCTTTTCGCTTAGATTCTAACATAATAATTTGCCAAGGCAATATAACAAACTTTAAAAAGCAAAAACAAGGCAACAAAAACAAAACGGTGTGCTTTGGCTTTGTTGTTTTTTTAAATCAGGTATGATAAAGCACGAAGTTTCAACACTTACATCCGAGCCCACGCTTCTCATGGTACTTTGCAGAACAGGTTTAGTCACTGAGAGTTTTCCATTCACTGGGCTGTTTGCCACAGGGGCCGGTACCACATTCACCATGTGATTAGGTAGCTGTGTGGCTCCCCCCGTGACAGCAAGGACTGGGGCAGAAGAGGGCAGAACTCCAGGAGCCTGAAGTTGTACAACGGCAGGCTGAGAAAGCATGACGGTCGGACCTGCAGTGGAGGAAAATGGGAAGGAGTCAGAGTGTGCATAACCATTGTGGCAAAGGACGGTGTTAAAATTTAGGTCTCTTCCGCAGATACAATAGGAGGAGGACACTGAGGGGATTTAAAACCACCAATTAAAACATAATCAACAGCAGCGCACACGCACAGTGATTTTTGTTGTTTTGCTTTGAATGAAACCAACTAAATTTGCTCCCTATGAAGTTATCAAGAACAATGTATTTCCACACCTTTTTCTCAGCTGTATCCAAGTCAAACTTGCTAAGTTATACATAGATTTCTCTATTAACCACTGAAATTTATGAGTGCTAAAAAGTATTTTTCATATTATAAATATGAATCTTTTATACTGAACACTGAGAGCCACGTATTTTAAATTAATAGGATTTAGAAATACAGCACCAAAAATATATAAACGGAGATTCAGTAACTCAGTATGTGGAAGGACAGGGGCTACAAATATCAAAAATGTTAAAACTTGCAGCAACATTTCCCACCAAGATATGGATGCAATCCAAGTATCCATTAATTGATGAATGGATGAAGAACATGTGGTGTATATATGCAATGGAATATTATTCAGCCACAAAAAATAATGAGATCTTGCCATTTGCAAAAACATGGATAGATCTAGAGAGCATTATGCTAAGTGAAATAAGTCAAAGAAAGACAAATACCGTATGATTTCACTCATATGTGGAATTTAAGAAACAAAACAAACGAACAGAGAAAAGAGACAACAACAAAAACAGACTCCGGGGCACCTGGGTGGCTCAGTCAATTAAGCGTCAGACTCTCAATTTCAGCTCGAGTCGTGATCTCAGGGCCATGAGAATGAGCCCTGTGTCAGGCTCCAAGCTGGGCATGGGGCCTGCTCGAGATTCTCTCTCTCCCTCTCCCTCTGCCGCCCCAGCCCCACTGCCCTGTCATACTCTGTCTCTAAAAAAAAACAGAAACAAAAATTAAAAAACAAACAGACTCTTAAATAAAGAGAACTGGTGGTTGCCATCAGGGAGGTGGGTGGGGGATGGGTGAAACAAAGGGGACAAAGAGTACACTTACTGTGATGAGCACTGAGTCATGTACAGAATTGTTCAGTCATTACACTGTACACCTGAAACTAATAACACTGTATGCTACTATTAAAAATATACATGGGGCGCCTGGGTGGCTCAGTTGGTTAAGCGACTGCCTTCAGCTCAGGTCATGATCCCAGGGTCCTGGGATCGAGTCCCGCATCGGGCTCCCGGCTCAGCGGGGAGCCTGCTTCTCCCTCTGACCCTCTCCCCTCTCATGCTGTTTCTCTCCTGCTCACTCTCTAATAAATAAATAAATAATCTTTAAAAAAAAAATACATATTTTTATAAAATTGTTCACAATATCCTTGTTAAAAAAAAACGTTGAGGGGCGCCTGGGTGGCTCAGTCGGTTAAGCGACTGCCTTTGGCTCAGGTCATGATCCTGGAGTCCCGGGATCAAGTCCCGCATCGGGCTCCCTGCTTGGCAGGGAGTCTGCTTCTCCCTCTGACCCTCCCCCCTCTCATGAGCTCTCTCTCTCTCTCATTCTGTCTCAAATAAATAAATAAAATCTTTAAAAAAACAAACAAACAAAAAAAAACGTTAAAACCATTTGAGATGAGTTCACAGTGAACAAGCACAGGAAACCAATCTGTAACTTAAAATAGTCTGTAGATAATACCAACTCCCCCTACACACACAAAATAGCTTCCAAATCTTTTCTTAATCTTCACATTTAACATTATTTTTTAAATTATGCTAATCTGAGGAGACTTAGTATCATTAACCTAAAGAAGACTCCCGTAACTCATAACTCTGCTCTATTAGAAATCTCACTTGCCTGCTGAATGCTTCCTTTCAGATCTGGCCAATTTTATAAGGTGCTGAAAGCCTCCCCCAATACCCACAGCTGCTTGAGCCTATCTAGCAAAAGAAAAGCACTACAGTAACCAGCAACTAATATTACATAAATATTTATAATTCTTCTTCAAGGAAAAAAAAAAGCATTATACTTCCAGCCAGTGTAACATGACCCACGTAAAATTCAGTTTGGTATTTCAAAGAATCAAGAAAAACTAAAAATCTAAATAATACTTCAGAACACCTGTTTAAGAACACCTATCTTAGCTTAAAAAAAAATCACTTAAAATCAAAGTCTTTGTTTCAGATGGCCTCAAAAAGCACACTAAAACTAGAATTTAGTTAATAGCATTTTATCCCAGATAAACTAATAACTTAGCAAGAAAGATCTAAAAGTAATTTCACAGATTTGTAATATGTACAATTTACTTGGACAAAAATGATCTCCAAACATTTTTATCTCCTTTTCCCTTGGAAAAACTTCTTTTATGAAATAAAAACATTTAAATGAGGAAATGACTCATAAGCAGATATAAATATGCTTAGGCCAAATATACAAATAAAAATACAAATAAAATAAAAAGCTCATGACCAAGTGTCAGGTTTTTTAATAACACTTATTAAGAAATTACAGTCTGGGGGGGGGTGCCTGGGTGGCTCAGTTCATTAAGCGTCCAACTCTTGGTTTTGGCCCAGGTCATGATCTCAGGGTCATGAGACTGAGACCCATGTAGGGCACCAAGCTCAGCAGGGAGTCTGCTTGAGATTCTCCCACGCTCTGCTCCTCCCCCTGCTCGCTTGCACACACGTGCACACTCTCAAATAAACAATATCTTAAAAAAAAAAAAGAAAGAAAATACAATCTGGTACTATGAGAAGACGTACTCCTTATCATGTAAAACTTAAACCAAGTGCTCCCACCCTGAACAGAATTACTTTTCTTTAATATCAAAAAGTATCATGGTCACCCAAGATGATCATGGCTGTCCTTTCAGTTGCAGGATTGAGAAAATACATGATGAGAAAAGGCTATTAAGAACTTAGTAACAGGGGCACCTGGGTGGCTCAGTCAGTTGGGCACCCGACTCTTGATCTCAGCTCAGGTCTTGATCTCAGACTCATGAGTTCAAGCCCCACACTGGGCTCCACACCGGGCATGAAGCCGACTTAAAACAACAACAACAAAACTTAGTAACAATTTAAAATAAATCCGTAGTTTATTAATCTGAACTATAGCCACGAAAATTTGAAAAACAGGGGTATAAAACAAATTATTCCGTCTACAGAAAATACCTGCCAGATATACGGGTTTGCAGATGCCTTGCAAAATATGCCACAGGCCACTACTCCCACCACCCATACCCTGGGGTCCACATCTGTAGGGTGGGAACCACTGAGTTAAACCAATACTTTGAGAAGAGCATTATTGGAAGCAGTGTTCCACATCTTCTCAGTCTAAAAATTACAATAAAGGGACGCCTGAGTGGCTCAGTCGTTAAGCGTCTGCCTTCGGCTCAGGTCATGATCCCAGGGTCCTGGGATCGAGCCCCCCATCGGGCTCCAGCCCCGCATCGGGCTCCCTGCTCGGCGGGAAGCCTGCTTCTCCCTCTCCCACTCCCCCTGCTTGTGTTCCTGCTCTCGCTGTGTCTCTCTCTGTCAAATAAATAATCTTAAAAAAAAAAAAAAGAATGATTTAAAAAAAAATTTATAATAAAAAGATTCCAGAACGAAACACTGTTTGGTGAACTTTGGGATTATTCCAAAGAGCAGAGGAGATGGTAAATGTAAAGAATTAAACATTTCAAAGAAAGGATCACACTTCTAGCTGCAGTTAACACATGCCAATGGCTTTGTGGTATTTCTTAAAACTAATTTAGAAAAATAACCCAAGTCTGTACCGTCCATTGCCTAGTTATCACCATCTCCTTGCTGAGAGAACTGCCTCATGGAGGAAAGGAGAGGGTGCAACACAGAGGCAGGATCTGTGTACCTAATGCGGCTCCCAGTCCTACCAGGCCACTGCTGCCTCCTGTTTTCTATAATGAACATCCCATGGTGCCCAACTATCCTCATATTACCTAGCATCCAAATCAAGAATCCTCTAAATATTCTAGGCATGTCTGGGTTCAAGACAGAATGGGGAGAAACTTCTATTACAACGTGTTCAAGAAAACGAAAAACTCTCATGGTGACTTGCTAAACAATGACCTGCTAGATGCTCATGGATCACAGAATGCAATGCAAAGGACTGTTTTGGGCCTTAAGTAGTTAGCAGCTGAACATAGTAACTAGTGTCCCTAGTGTGAAGACAGTCAAAAAGGACAACCATAAGACTGTTTATCCATTTCAGCATGCTCAAAATCCTCCCTGACATTACATACAAATTCCCCTTAATGGAACCACTGGAACATGGCTAGATTCAATGCTAAATACTTCTGACTACGTATGACTCACCGATTGTGACAGGTATTCTTCCTTTTCAATTTTCTTCAAGGATTTCAAACTATGTATCAAACATTTATTGAATGCCTACTTTGTCCAAAATAATATAGCTGTGTGACTTGGGGTAAATGATTCCTCTGTGTCTTAATTTTCTCATCTATAAAATGAAGATAATAATAGTACCCATCTTCACAGAGCCAATGTAATGATTAAATAAGATAATGCACTTAAACACAACAGTGTCTACCACACAGTAAGAACTTTAATGTTAGCTATTATATATTATTATTATTAATTTCCATTTCTTTTTTTTTTTTTTAAAGATTTTATTTATCTATTTGAGACAGAGAGAATGAGAGAGAGAGCACATGAGGGGGGGGGAGGGTCAGAGGGAGAAGCAGACTCCCTGCCGAGCAGGGAGCCCGATGCGGGACTCGATCCAGGGACTCCAGGATCATGACCTGAGCCGAAGGCAGTCACTTAACCAAGTGAACCACCCAGGCGCCCTATTAATTTCCATTTCTATATAACAGCTTCCATAAGGGCACTGCATATATTATTAATTCATTAGTTCTCATAGTCACTGTTATTTGTTTATGTAAATATGTTAACTCCCCAATTAGAATTCTGGAGATCAAAGAGCACATCTCCCCATTCCTTTAGAGGCAATCTAGTATCATGACTAATTAAACAGACTCTGAGCCAGACCACTGGGCTCCAGTTCTGCCTCTACTTCTCAGGAGCAGAATGACCTGGGGTAAGTTATGTTACCTCTATCCTCCATTTCAATGATTCTGCACTATTATCTACCCAACAAGCCCAAGATGTCGTAGGATATGTTCCTCTCTATCCTTCATCCCCCTTCCAAACCATCCAATAACCAAGCCTATGATTCTGCATGTTTTAACCTCTGCACCCTCTATCCTGGCTCTCCATTTTCACGGACATACCAGGCTTTCATCATCTCTCACTTGCACTCCTCCTAACAGTCTTAATGGATGTATAGGACTTGGTTAGAGAAGTTGTTTCAGGCAGACAGAATGGTCTGAGCCAAGAAACTAGGAAAAACGAGAGAATTCAAGGGACAGAGGTCAGACTGGTTGGGCTAGAAGAGGAAGTTGGGTTTATAAAAAGGAGTGATTATAATGTAAAGTTAGAAAACTAAACTGGAGCCAAACCACGGTGGGCTTTACTTCCAAGTTTGAGAATTTGAACTTAATCCTGTAAAAATTACTTCTTCTTTTTTAATGGTAAAAATATTTACTATTGATACTTACATTAATTATAAAATGCCTCTCCTATATTTCCCCTCTACCTCTTTATTTCAAATAAATGGAAAACATACACTTAAATCTGTATGTTACAACAACACCAACTCTCTGGACTGTACTACACAAGTGCCTTATATTAGCAAACATAAATACTATCTTCAGATAATGGGCAGGCACTGACATTCTGAATAATGTATGATTCAGGTTTCTGAACCTGATAAACTGCTCAGAAAAGAATGGTTTGTCTTCTATCAATTGAACATGGTCTGCTAGGAGCAAATTCTTAGGAATACCCCTTGCTTCACACACTAGTCATATTAATGTATGGCTTTTGCTTTTTATACTTGTGTTTTAAGAGCTTATGGAAACCATAATGAGGTTCTTCACAAGTTTAAATTCTTAACTTTTGGGAAGACATAGACCCTGTTGAGATCCTGATGAAAATAAGTTTTGGAGACTAACCCTAGAAAAACCACATATACAATAAATCTTACATTTTATTTCAAGTTCATGAACACTTAACATCCCTTCACAGACCACAAGAACACCCCTTCTACAGGACTGCTATTTTTCACATGAAAAAGGCAGCAGTTCTGACCCTGTACTGAATGGGCAGATATTTCAGGTTTGTCTAGGGTTTTGGTAGACTTTGATGGATTTTCACTGAATTGTTCAGTCCCCCACCTAGCTCTTCTCTTCATCAATGTCATATTGTCCATGACCTTGGAATAAAACAAAACTAACAGAGTAAAACTAGAAATCAAAAATTTTTTTTAAGATTTTTTATTTATTTATTTGACATAGAGAGAGAGAGAGAACAATTAGGCAGAGAGGCACGCAGAGGGAGAGGGAGAAGCAGGCTCCCCGCTGAGCAGGGAGCCCGATGTGGGACTCGATCCCAGGACCCTGGGATCATGACCTGAGCTGAAGGCAGCCGCTTAACCGGCTGAGCCCACCCAGGCGCCCTAGAAATCAAATTTATGACGTTGCTCTCATTAAAACTTGATCTTCTTGCTCCAAAGAAATGAATTAACAATCTAGAGCTGGAAACAGCCATAAAAGAAACATTTGTTTACAATCCATACACCATTGAGACCTAGTCTCAAATCCAGGGAAAGAACGTTGAACAGGTTTTCCATTACTCCTGTGTACACGTATCAGTATGAGAATGACAGATAATCTGCCTAAGACATCTTCATATGCAAATGATTCCTGTGTCTGCACACTCCCAAACCCTCAAACATGTTCTTTCAATACTACAGTTCGTGCAGAATCAAGTATGTGAGGCCATCTGGTGGATAAAATATAGAAACACACACATTCTTAACTATGTGAAGACAAGAGTTGAGATCTCTTCCTAATGCCCTCACTCAAGATCATGTTTACTAAAGCATGCTGCTTCTGCAGAGAGAAAGAGCCTGATCCTATTGCCGAAACTCACCTATTAGACCTGTGATGTTATTTACATACTGACCTCTCCTTAAAAAGAAGAGTTCATGAAAAAAACAAACGAACAACAAAAAAAAAAACCCCAAGAGTTCATGGACACAAAAACCTCAGGATAGGGCGCCTGGGTGGCTCAGCTGGTTAAGCGACTGCCTTCAGCTCAGGTCATGATCCTGGAGTCCCGGGATCGAGTCCCGCATCGGGCTCCCTGCTCGGCAGGGAGTCTGCTTCTCCCTCTGACCCTCCCCTCTCTCATGTACTCCCTCTCTCTCATTCTCTCTCTCAAATAAAAATAAATAAAATCTTTAAAAAAAAAAAAAAATCTCAGGATAGAATGGTACCAAGAAAGTTCCTGGATTTTCTTCATTACAAGTGGTTATATAAAACCACAAGCCTGACAGACAGGTGTTTTCATAATTAAAACTGTAAGAAAAAAGAAGTATCAGATATAATTAATCTCGAGAGCCATCTACCTTGTTAGGACGGGAACCGCATGTTAGTCATCTCTGCGACATCCTCAAAACCAAGGACAATTCCTGGCACACAGCATGTGCTCAGAAATTATAACCTGAGCTAAAACAAATGACATGAGGCAAGCCTTAGTGCCCATCAATTAAACATACGCAGCCTCGAATGCCACTCAGGTACCTTTAGCGGGTGCAGGATGTATGCTGATAATCGGCTGCTGCTTTGCCAACGGCATAAGGGTGGGTAGTGTCTGAATAATGATGGTTTTCGCTGGAACGCCAGAATTTGTCTGAGTCTTGGGTGCTGCTGGAAGCAATAATGGCTTGGGCTGAACTGAAGGTTTTGAATTCATCTGAATTTTTTTCTTTGGAGTCAGTCCATTTTCTGGAGAAAATCCAAACAAACCACAAATCAATGTGAAAGCAATTCCTAGAAAACGGATTCTATTATACACTTTTTCTACACATTATCTTTACCTCTGAGTAACTATCCTTACCTGGAGTTTAAGCATAGCTATCTATACCTTAATGGACTAAAAAAAAAAAGTCCTTAATCTGAGGTCTACCCCCCTTTTTTGAGGTATAATTGACATATTATATTGATTTCAGGGGTACAACATGATTTGGTATTTGTATCACAAAAGGATTACCACAAGAAGTCTAGTTAACATCTGCTACCACACACAGTTAAAGAGCTCTTTTTCCTTGTGATGAAACTTATAAGATCTAATCTCTTAGCAACTGTCAAATATACAACACAGTATTACTAACTATAGTCACCATGCTGTACATCACGTCCCCATGACTTATTTTAGAAGTCAAATGAGATCTTCCTTTCTGACCACACTGATGGTCAAAATGATGGTTTTCACTGGAATGACTATACTGCAGCTTTGGGAAGGAGATATATGAACTGGTAAAGGAGAACAGCTAAAAATCACTGAATAAGGCCTGAAGATTAAGAGGTAATAAATGTCACACCCAAATGTCCCTCACATTCAATATTTTTAACTGAATCTTTGAATTCTCTCCTGAAGATGATGAGGCCTCCATCTACTTTAAAACATTTTTCACCTGTAAAGACAAGACAACCAAGGAAGACAGGTCCACTATTTTAAGAACAAAAAGCCAGCTTAATAAACATGCACTTAATCCAGTATTTTCTTTTTAAAAATGGAACCTAAGTTCAGTCCAACTTAGAACAGAAGTTAGGAGCTGGGAGTCATACCAGTTTTGCTCCTAGGACCAATGATGGGCTTATCTTCTTTCAGTGCCTCTACTGAGGAGGGACTATGAGAGCTTTCACCATATAAGGAAAGGGGAGACATCTGGGAAGCAGACGACAAATCCAACTCCTCCTGTAGCAAAATAAAATACAAACAAATTCATGGAGAAGAATATAATTCTTGAACAGAAAATGGCTTAGAGAGGCAAGATCCATACATAAACGAACATTCTAGGACAACTTCAAGGCAAAGGTATGATATATTAGAAACTTTATGTACTAAGTACTAAGAGACTATGGATAAAGTAACATTATCCATCAATACAAGAGGAAAAATAATTCAAATTGCAGAGGACATCTATGTCATCCTCTTGTATTAAAGATGGGAATCACTGATCTGTTCCTACATTTCCTCCCACACACTTGATATTTACTTGGTTCCTAGCCATACAAACATTTGGTATAAGACTATGGTTAAAATGCCAATATCCTTTCCCCCAATCTCTTATTCAGTAGTCTTATAAGAAACTCAAAACATGGGCGCCTGGGTGGCTCAGTCGTTAAGCGTCTGCCTTCAGCTCAGGTCATGATCCCAGGGTCCTGGGATCGAGTCCCACATCGGGCTCCCTGCTCAGCGGGAAGCCTGCTTCTCCCTCTCCCACTCCCCCTGCTTGTGTTCCTGTTCTCGCTGTCTCTCTCTGTCATATAAATAAATAAAATCTTTAAAAAAAAAAAAAAAGAAAAAGAAACTCAAAACAAATAATTCTTACTATTTTTCTTTTTCATTTATTAATGCTGCCTTTGTCCCAAATGTTTTGAAAGAAAGACAAACACTGAAAGGAACAGGGCTATTTTCTTTTATTTAATGGGTGACTTGTTAATACAGAGATGTATAAAGATAACATTTTCCCAGTCTTTTAACATTCAGTGGATCTGTCTCATTTCGTTGCCATAAGGAAACTTAACATAGGATAAAAGTAGCACTTCTATTCTGAGAGGAAAATTAAAGATTTTATTTATTTGAGAGAGCATGAGCTAGGGGAGGGGCAGAGAGAGAGAGGGAGAAGCAGACTCCCCACTGAGTAGAAAGCTGGATGCGGATGCGGAGCTCAATACCAGGACCCTGAGATCATGATCTGAGCTGAAGGCAGACACTTAACCGACTGAGCCACCCAGGTGCCCCACAAAGGCAATTTTTTTTTGGATCAGATAAGAAAAAAGAATCAAAATGACCTGGAGAGAATATGGTCACTCCCAGTCATGCTGGTAAGAATGACAACTGCTTCATTCATTCATCCTCAACACCTACTCAGCACGTAGCCATAAGCTGGGCTCTGTGAACCTTAGAGAGTATTTCAGATGATATTTGGAATAAACCAGAGAGTACAAGATAATAACACAGGAAGATATGATTCTCTTCATGGCCTAAGATGCTTAAAAGGTATTTCATAACATTCAGCAAGTACCCCTTACAAAAGTCCTAGAAAACAAGGATTAGAGGGATACTTTCTTAACATTAAAAAAAAAAAAAAAGCTATGTATAATTGCATAGCCAATGTCATACTTAATGGTGAAATACTAAATGCAGTACCATTTAAGTCAGGATAAGAAACATAACTGCTTTTTCTATAATTCTAGCAAACATAATTATACTAGAAAATGAAATAAAAGGAATAAATATTAAAATAGAAGAGACAGAAGAAGTACCTTTGTAAGGTGACATGCTGTCTACTTAGAACACATATAAAAACCAATAAAAAAACATTTCACTATGAAAATATTGTATGAATAATCATTTAAAAAAATAATAAAAAAGATCTCACCCACAAGAGCTGTAACAGTTATAAAATACCTAGGAGTTAATTTTCTAAGGAATGTACAGAGCCTATATAAAGAAATTTCAAAACTTAATTTAGTTACATAAAAGGTAACTTGACTACACAAAGAGACATAAGATATTCTTTCACAGAATGATTATAAAGGTGATACAACTTGGGAAACTGGCTCACTTAGAGAAAATTAAAACTAGATCCCTAACTAACATCACATAGTAAGGTAGACTCTAAAGGTATTAAGAAGGGATGCCTGGGTGGCTCAGTCAGTTAGGCGTCTGCCTTCAGCTCACGTCATGATCCCAGGTTCCTAGGATCAAGCCCCATGTTGGGCTCTCTGCTCAGAGGGGAGCCTGTTTCTCCTTCTCCCCCTCCCTCTGCCTGGCGTTCTGCCTGCTCTCGCTCTCTGTGTCAAATAAATAAATAAAATCTTCAAAAAAAAAATAAAAAATTGAATTTTTTTTAAAAAGGTATTAAGAAATTTTGGGGCCCCTGGGTGGCTCAGTCAGTCAAGCCTCTGCCTTCAGCTCAGGTCATGATCCCAGCATCCTGGGATTGAGGCCCACATCGGGCTCCCTACTCAGCAGGGAGTCTGCTTCTCCCTCTGCCCCTCACCCCACTCTCTCACTCTGAGTCTCAAATAAATAAATAAAATTTTTAAAAAATAATAAATAAAGGTATTAAGAAATCTAAATGTGAAAGGTAAATCATGTAGTTAATAGAAAAAAATATTGGAGAATATCTTTGCGGCCTACAAGCAGAGAAAGACTTCTTTTAAAAAACTTCAAAAAATAAACCAAAAAGGCAAATGGAAAAAAAGATTAATCTGAGTATTCAAAATTAGAAATTTCTACTCAATAAAGACTGCAAAGCTAATAGGTAATAGAAAGTAAAAAGATATATGTAATGTCTAAACCCAACGAAGTTACTATCTCAAATATAGAAGAAATTCTTGCAAGTGAGTAAGAAAAAGACAACTCAATAGAAAAACTGGCAAAAGACAGGAATAAACAATTTATAAAAGAAAAAATATCCAAATCCAAAAGGCCATGTAAAGAAATGTTGATTACATGTAATGTTTGATTACATGTAAAGGCCATGTAATCAAAGAAATATGAATTAAAACAAAACAAACAATAAAAAATTTACACCATCTGGCAAAAATCAGAAAGCCAGGCAATGCTGAGCATTAGCAGTGAAGAAAAGCTACAAGGATCCTCCAGCACTTTTGCTGGGACTGCAGACTACCACAGGTGTCCAGAGAGCAAGATGGCAGCACTTGTCAAATGAAATATCTGCACTCTACCTCTCAGCAATTCCACTCCTGGGCGTACATCCCGAAGGAATCCTCACATGGACCCATAAAAGGTCATTTTGACAATGCTCACTGTGATGGAGGTAAAATAGAGTGAACATATCCGTGAAGTGTTGTGCAGTTAGATGCAATACCAAACAATATGAATTGATCTTAAAAACATTGTGTTGAGGGGCGCCTGGGTGGCTCAGTTGGTTAAGCGACTGCCTTCGGCTCAGGTCATGATCCTGGAGTCCCGGGATCGAGTCCCGCATCGGGCTCCCTGCTCGGCAGGGAGTCTGCTTCTCCCTCTGATCCTCCTCCCTCTCATGCTCTCTGTCTCTCATTCTCTGTCTCTCAAATAAATAAATAAAATCTTAAAACAAAACAAAACAAAAAAAAACATTGTGTTGATTTTTAAAAGAAATACAAAGAAATCTAACATAATAACATCATTTACATAAACTATTTAAGTCAGTGAGAACAAGATGAACTTTTTGTACTGGAACCATTCTTTTGATAGTCATCTGGGAAAAGAGAAATTTAGATTTGGTCTCACATCATACACCAGGATAATTTCAAATGGATCAGAGATCTAAATTAAAAATAAAACCTTATAGGGGCACCTGGGTGGCTCAGTTAGTTGAGCGTCCAACTCTTGATTTTGACTCAGGTCAGGAGCATTGGGCTCCAAGCTCAACAGGGAGTCTGCTTGAGATTCTCTCCCTCCCCTTCTCCCTTTGCCCCACCCTCCATCCCCTTCAGTGTGCTAATAAATACATCTTTAAAAATAAATAAAAATAAAACCTTATAAAAATATGTATTAACAGTCACTGAGAAAATATTTCTTGCTCATGAATGGACATAGAGGGCATCAGGCTAAGTGAAATCAGTCGGACTGAGAAAGACAAAGACCATAGGAGTTCACTCATTTGTAGTATCTAAGAAACAAATGAATAAACAAACAAGCAAACAAAAATATTCCTTGCTGAATAATTTGACCCTAAAGCCACTAGAAGGGACAGAGCAAGACAGCATCGATGCAGAGAGGTAGGCTGGTAGAGTGTCAAGAGTCCAAACTGAGTTAGGTAGGGAGAGTGTTCACATGGGGATGGGCAGAACACTCCAGCATTGGGAGTCAGAACAGGGTGATAAGGGCATCAAAATTGGGTCAGCCTGATTTATCAAAAAGCCCAATGAAGACATATTAAAAGAACACAGAAGTCTGTGTGAAGGAAGTTGCACTGTCCAAATCCAGGGCAACATAAGAATCAGAATAATTACAATAATGGATTACAACCTGTTGAATAAAATAAGAAACCGTAAGCCCATACTGATATAAAGAAATAAACAGATAAACTTAAGCTTTGCTGAGAAACTGGACTTTTTTTTTACATCATTTTAAAGTACTGCCTCACAAAATATTTATAGCAAAGACAGAAAGAACAACTTCACAGTGGAAAAGCCTGGCAGACATTACCTTAACTAAGTGAACAAAGTGAACTTCATCAGTAATGACAAATTGAAATTGTGTGCCATCTCATCAAAAGTAAATGAAACAGACACAGCATCACCTCGGTGATATTCCTGCCATGGATACAAAACCTGAATCTAATCCCTAGGACACATCAGACAAACCCAACTGGGTTTGGGAACATTCTACATAATAACTAGTCTTTAATCTCCACCAGTGACAAGGTCATGAAAGCTGAGGAAGAATAAATCATTTCACCTGGAGGAAATGAAAGAGAAAAGCCAACCAAATATGATGCTGGATTCTACACCAGATTCTGTTGCTCATCTAAGGGGTATCTCTCAGACAACTGGCACAAGCTATGTGGGAGTTGAAGACTAGATGAAGGTAATGTATCAATGTTTATTTCCTGATTTTAGTGATTGCATTGTGGCTACAGAGGGCAATCCTTGCTTGTAGAAACTAAGACAGTGAGGTATTTGGGGGTGATAAACATCAGGTTGGCAATTTACTCTCCAATGGTTCAGGGAAAAAAAGTTATTTGAAATGTCCTTGTAACATTTCTTTAAGTCTGAGATTATTCCAAACAAAAAGTTGATACAAACAAGAATAAAAATACTATAACCTCTGAGGGGTAAAAACCCTCTTCTGAATGACCAAAAAAAAAAGGCAATAGAAGATTGGTAATTTGGCTATGGAAAAAAGTATGCCTGGAGAAAATAAACACCAGACATAAAGCATCAAGACAAATGACAAATTGGGGAAAAAACACTTGTTAACTTACTTTACAAACTGAGGGCTAATAATCCTAATATGTAATAAAACAACCTAAACATTTGAGGAGAAAAAGACCAACACAATCCAATAGAAAAGTGAACCAAAATTTGAATGGATAGTTCATTTAAAAAGAAATACAAATAGGCCTTATACACATGAGATATTTGAAAAGATGTTCAACCACACTTAGAATAAAACAAATAGAGAACAAAGCACGCGTGGAGCAACAGTGGGAATACCGGCCCCTCACGCGCTGCTGGTCAGACCGCACGACAGCACAACCCTACGGAGGGGAACCTGGCTATAATCCACAACATTACAAATGTATTCACCCTGATCTCCACAATCTCACTTCTAGGATTATATCCCAAAGACATCCTGGCAAAAATATAATGTGACTTGTGTAACATGTTATTCACTACAGCCTTATTTGAGACTGGAAAGGACTGAGAATACAAAGGTTCGTCAATAAGGAAATCACTGAAGAAAGCATGATATATCCACACAATGGATATATCATGGAACAGCATGCAGCCATAAAAAGGAATGAGAAAGATCCTATATCCTGAAACTGGACTTACCTCCAAGATATACCACTAAGTTAAATAAGCAAAGTGCAGAACAAGGTATAGAGTATGCTACCTTTTGTGTGAGGATGGATGGGAAGGAAAGGATAGAAATCAGGCTTCTGTAAATATACCTTGTTATATACTTTTGGGTCGCTCAGTCGGTTAAGTGTCCACCTTCGGCTCAGGTCATGATCCCCGGGTCCTGGGATCGAGCCCCGCATCGGGCTCCCTGCTCAGCAGGGAGTCTGCATCTCCCTCTGCCCCTCCCCAGCTCGTGCTCTCTCTCTCTCTCTCTCACACACACACACACACACACACACACAAATAAATTTTTAAAAAAAATTTTTTAAAGATTTAACAAATTTTTTAAATTAAATCATTTGGAGAAATTGTGGGACCACAAAGAACCTCCAATGGCAGCAATCAGAGAAAAGCTTCACAGAGGAAGTTGTTTTTGAACTGGGACTAAAAGAGGATGATTAGGAGTTTTACAAGAGAAGAAAAAAAACAGGGCTATTCTAGGCAGAAGAGCATGTACAAAAATCTACAAGTGTGAAAGCAGAGATCTCGCTGCTCTCATTCACTGCCAGGCTTTGAACAGCGTCTGGCACAGTTGCTGAGGAGTACAGAGTGTGGGAGCTCTGAGGTGGGATCCCACAGGGTTCGAAGGGGAAAGTGAAAGTAGCAAGGGAGAATGCGCCAGGAAGGTAAGCAGGAGCCGGGTCGTGAAGGGCCTAGTACTCCGGAAGTTTGCATTTCATCTTGAATTTCATCCTGGGAAGTCATTATAAGGTTTAAGCAAAAGACTGACATGATCAAATTTATCATTCTGAAAGATTTCTCTTTGAAGATTCCTCTGCTAAGAAAAGTTGGGGGAGTCAGGAGGCAGAGAGGCCAGTTAAAATCCTATTGACTTAATCCCACAGAGATGATGATGATGGCCTGGCAGAGGCAAAGAAGATGAATCACAGAGACATTAACTAGATTGAACTGTCCGGATTTCATAGTTGACTAGATGCTGAGTCGGCCAGAATGAAGATACCTCAATTTACAGCAGATATAATGTACTGAAATATTAATTTGAATTTTTCTCCTTAAATTTTCCCTTCCCCCATTCAAAAAAGTACCTAAATACTTTAGTATTTCCTTTTCCCATGCTCAGAGCTTTTGTCTGGATGGAGAACAGAAGCATTTTTAAGAAGTTACCAGATTTTTATAAAAACCTTAGCCCATTCAAAGGTAGTACTTAGCCCTCCTGATTTAAGGAATCCATTCTAGGTTCTATGGCCAAGGAGTTACAAATCAAACCATCTTAGAGTCCTCCCTGTCCTCAAAGAATGTATATTCTGACAGGCAGGAGAGAGGACAGCAGGGAGAAAAGACAGTAAGCCAATAAACAAAAAATACTGGTTACTGGTAAAGTGCGAAGAAACCACTGAAACAATGAAATCATAAAGGCAAGAACACCGGGGAAGGAGGGCAAAACCAGAGACGAAGAACTTGCTAGCTCTCCCAAGGCCCTTCCTGGAAACTCAGGTTCCTCGGGATTAAATGAGATCATAAGGTTCACATTAGCATTTCATAAATGATAAGTGCATCCTCCATATGCATATTTCCCAGATAGCATTATGACCAAAATCACAGTAGAAGACTGGCTACTTACAGGAACATGCTGAGTTGAAGAGTAAGAGTCCACTGACTGAGGAGAGGAGACTGAACAACTTGAGGAGGCTGGAGAAAGTGGCTGAGGTTCTGCCTTAACATCTTTAACTGAAAAACATGGAATAAAAATTTTCCCATTGGACACTATCATCTCAAAATAAAATGAATAAGAAAGAGGGTAAAATCTACTCTTAAAATTCAATCATATTGAAGCTAAGGTCACCAAAATGCATCATCAAATGAAAATTCAAGATGCAGAAAACAGTGTATCTAGTATGCTACCGTTTGTGCAATACATTATACATGTGTATATGTATATATCTTCTCCCATCTGCGCTAATTCTCTGAAAGGATAAACATAACAAATTGGTGACTGTGGCTGTCTCTGGGGAGAATGTGCTGGCTAAGGAACAACAGCTGAAGGAGACATTTTTCTACCCTATAGACTTTTTGTAATTTTTTAATATTATACCATATGCAAAAAAATTATAGATTCCTCCAAAAATAACTTTTAAAAACATAAGAAATCAGAAATGATTATTTTGGAAAACATTTTTTACAATACCATTAAAACTCACAAAAATGTTCCTACCTTTTGCTAAACTTCATTTATAAAAATTTATTGAGCAACTACAGCCCAATGTTTTCCAAAATTAGCTGCAAAATATCCACCATCCCTCATAATCTATAACGTGATCTTACCCTTCCCCATCAAGAAGTAGCATCTATTCCCCTCCGTTTGAATCAGGGTGGGCTTAAGACTCCTTCAATCAACAGAGTATGGAAGTAATGCTACATGAATTCCAAGGCTGGGTTACATTAGGTAATGCAGTCTCCACTCTGTGTGCTGGAACACTCACACCTGAGCCTCTGAAGTCTGACTACCATGAGACCACCAAGCTGAAAGGAAGCCAAGCCACATAGAAAGGCCATGTGTAGGTGCTCTAGCCGACAGTCCTAGCCATCAAGCCACTCGGGCCAGGCAAGAGATAGGTGAGTGAAGAAATCTTAAGGTAATGCTAGCCCCCAACTTTCAAGCTCCTCCAGCTTCCCATCTTCCCAGTTGAGGTCTGGGCATCACAAAATAGGGATAAACCATTCTTTGGTGTACCCTGTCCAAATTCCTGACTCACAATTCTGGGAGCATAATAAAATGGTTGTTTTTTAAGCCACTGAGTTTGTTACATGACAATAGTAACCAGAACACTGGCCTTGGGTAGCCCATATTCTATGAGGGAAGACAGGCATTAAGCAAGACAAATAAATACATAAAATGGGGGACTGGGACATGCAAGGGTGGGGAGGACTGCAATTTGGGTGGGAGAAAGTGCTGGTGACTTACCCACTGCCCCTCATCTCTTAAATCTACCTCCTATATATAGCCTGTGATGCACATTATTAAGACATGTCCCAGCTGGCTCCCTTTTAGGTCCTATCAATGGGGGATACTGGAAGGATGCTGAAGTGAAGAGAGGGGACAAAGGGGTTTCTTCCTCCCATCAGCTTCATCCCACAAGTGACAGTTGGCTCCAGGGCCCAACTTCTCTCAGCACATCCAAAACCTACTTCATCAGAGCCCCTTAAAGATACTAGCATCAGCCAGGTGGTGCCCCCTCCACAGAAATATGTATATCAAATGCAAGGGACCCCTACACCAACTTCCTAAGTTCTGATAACCCCACGCTTTCTTTGATTCCCTAAGTTCTGTCTGGTTCTCAGGTTAACCTCTTATAAAGATATATGGAATTCAAAATCAGGATTTCTGTTATGAATTCTTTATCATTATGTGACTAAAACATAACTATGAAATTCTTTACATCCACTTGGGCAAGAAACTTACGTGTGCACTGCCATATCAAAAGTAGAGTATCTACCCCTGGGATTTTTTAACCCATCAAAGTAGCCCAATAACCCCACCTAATTTTGATGATTACCAAACTGCAAAATAAAATGCATCTGTTTAAAATTTTTACCAATGAAATACATCATTACCTGTACAGAGCTGGTTGTTGATGTCCCAAATGCCTGTTTCCCAAGGCATCAAATCCAAGTCAAAATCAAGATTATCAAAATTGTTTTCCTGTAGGTTTCAAATCAGCAAAAGGATATTAGAAGAATAAAATATACAGATCTAGAAATCAAACTATCAGACATAACTTGCCATAAATAATTGCTATTACCCAACTTAGTTAAAATAATTTTCTAAGTCAATCAGTTCATCTTGAGAATACATCTTGCATGGCCTAAAGATAAACCAACTCAGTTATCTGAAACACAGCAGGAACAATTAGGGAGGTAATGGATTCAACATCTAAAAGATTCAGTTGGTGTCATTCTTTTCCATGGGAATCGACCTTTACAAGAGTCACAAAACATGTCTTTTGTCATAAGGGAGATCCAGCAAAGTAAACTTTCCCACTGCCATTAATGAAAACAAGTCAAAGCAAATGCCCACTTACAACATCATCTCTATATAGCAATGGAAAGAATATAGATTTTAGCCAAAAGACATGCAAGAATTGAAACTATTATAAATGGTTATCTAAGAAAGAGGAGATCCATAGAAGGATGGGTAATTTTCTTCTTTTTCTACTATACTGTACTGTACAAATTTTCAAATTTCTAAAATAAAATTTCTAATTTTTTTTTAATCCTAGAAGATAAAACTAAGTTTCTCAAACAGAAGTCAACACACTTCTTAGAGGAACTCTTAGTTTCTTCATTTAAATGACATTTTTTTTCACTTAAATATAAGCATATTCTGGGTCATCTGAATAGTCGTCTTATACTATATACATAAATAAAGTACAGCCACACATGAGTTTGAGATCAAGACAGTCCTATTATCTTAAGTGTCCAGGGTTATGGAGACAAGAACAGAGGTATACAATATATACATAGTACCACAAAAGCATTCAGTATTAACTTCATATGATGGATAATAAAACAGCAACAGTCGAGAAAATAAGCCCCAGGCCAAAAGTAAAGATTGGTCTCTTAATTATTAACAACCATTTGGTAATAATTTCTAAAGTATTATTTCAAAATGTCTCTTTTGTGGTTTATTTTTATTGAGAACAAAAGGAAAGAAGGAAACAGTTTGATCCCACAGCCCCTAACTAAGTAAATATTGGTGCAAGTTAGAGAAAGAGAATGTGTGGACATTCACGTGAAAAAAAAAAAATACCACTGAAACCATGAAAGAACCCCTTTTTAAATCAACCCCCTTTGCTTTTTTCTCTTACTTGAATCTACACATCAAGAAATTAAGCAGCCTTGTACCTTCAGCAACCAAAAATATCCTTCAACTTCCTTAGCCTAAGTAAACTAAACAATGAAGCCTGCTGGAGTGCTAGCAATACTTTTTAACATGCACAACAGTGGACATGACCTACTCCAGGATGCTTCTTACTCAGTATTCAGCCAAAACGGTCAAATACCTTTTACAGCATAAGAATTTTATCTGTACGGAAACTTAACAGGCTTATTTTATGTAAAGTGAAACGTATCTGTGCTTCTATATTCTGGCTCTTCTATGACTTCTCATGGGAAACTACTAACGTGTGGAAGAGCATGACACAATTTTAAAGCTGGCAAGGGCCCTCAGACACCATTTAGTCCAATCCCTTAACTTTATACTAGAAAAACTAAGGAACTGAAAGACTGAGTGCCTTGTGTAAGGTAAGAATGTTAATTATAAAATGAGGATCATATATTTCCCTGAACCTTTCAGACTAACTACAGTATGGTAACTTGGTAGTTTAAGTCGTAGAGATTATAAATGAATATCAGTTGCTTAGGCAACCTCCCAATATTTAAAGCTAATCTGGGGCACCTGGGTGGCTCAGTCAACTAAGCATGTGCCTTCAGCTCTGGTCATGATCCCGGGGTCCTAGGATCGAGCCCCACACTGGGCTCCCTGCTCAGCGGGGAGCCTGCTTCTCCCTCTCCTCCCCGCTCATGCTCTATCTCTCTCTCTCTCTCTCAAATAAATAAATAAAATCTTAAAAAAAAAAAAAGCCAATTTAATCAATAGATCGCATTCTCAAACATCTCATAAGGTAAACAAAAACTATCAAAATTTCATGTACTGATTAAAAAAGTATATCACGTATTCTTACTCTCTTCTATTGATGCATAGTAAAACAACTGCTAAATTATTCTTTGAGAAATGTCTGAGAAACTCACTAAGCATTACATATTTTTGTACTCAGGTTAATAAGGGCTTAAAAAATAAATAACAAATATCCAATCTGATTGATGTACATATAAAATCACTGTTCGCTTGAATTACTCCCCAAGTGAAACAGCACCTCATCCATTAAAGAGTAAGACAAAATAAAAGAGTTCTATAGGCCAATGTACTATGTACTAAAACAAAAAAGACAAAGATATTTTTGAGGCCTCAAAGTGCTATAATAATAGCTTATACACAGACTTCTAACCATTCACAGGCAAAAAGTAAGGACATGTCTAAGTTTCAGAGCTTTCTATACTAAGGATATGTAACTTTTAAAAAGGAAGTTAGTAAGTTCTGCTTGACTGGATCCATGACTCACATACACCCTTTAACATCATCATTTCCCTTATGCAGCAAAGTATCTATAAAAGCCCAAAAAGTAGGCAGTTAAGTGACTTTTCCAAAGTCACCCAACTCTTGGTCAAAGGTAAACTTAGAATACCGGTCTTCTCCCACCAAGACCAATGCAGTTTCTACAATCCTAAATTTACTGAGTCAAAAATGGCTGCTAACTTTCACACTTAATACTAAAAATTATTTAAACTGAAATCACTAGCCTAAACCTGTTATCCTGAAACCATCTTGCAATAATTAGAAGATTAAATATCACATTATTCAGTAATTCTCCCCTAGTAAATACTTACATAAGTTTCCTTTGCTGCATCCAATTGCAGGTCATCAGTGTCTGTGAAATAGCCAAGTTCAGCAAACAGTGTAGAATCTTGGCACAAAAGGGTAGAGATTTAAAAAAGAAGAAGAAGAAGAACAGAGATTAATTGTCAATTCAATATTTCAACAGGAGAACAAGCACTGTACCCCTAAGCCAGCTCTATAAGGGGTTCTCATTAGCCATTACTATTACTGATAAACTCCAGCAGTGTGAATGACAATCAATTCAAAGCTATTTCTAATTCATGTATTGTTTTCCACATAATTTTTATCTTGTGATCTAAATCCTTACACCAGGGATTAACAAACAAGTTTTATGTCAGGTCACATTGGACTAAATGATAGTGACTTTTACTAACAGGAATTCTGAGGCTACATCTGGGCTCAACATGAAAATGTACCATGATTAGAAAGGGGAACCCTGGAGTGCCTGGGTGGCTCAGTCGGTTAAGCGTCTGCCTTCGGCTCAGATCATGATCCCGGAGTCCTGGGATCGAGCCCCGCATCGGGCTCCCCGCTCAGTGGGGTGGCTGCTTCTCACCTTGGCCCTCCCTCCTCTCATGCTCTCTCTGACTCACTCTCCCTCAAATAAATAAAATCTTTTAAAAAGGGGGGGGAATCCTCTTACACTGTTGGTGGGGATGCAAACTGGTACAGCCACTCTAGAGCTACCCTATGACCCAGCAATTGCACTACTAGGTATTTACCCAAAGGATACAAACATAGTGATCAGAAGGGACACATGCACCCCAATGTTTATAGCAGCAATGTCCACAATAGCCAAACTAGGAAAGAGCCCAGATGTCCATCGACAAATGAATGGATAAAGAAGACGTGGTGTACATATACAATGGAATATTACTCAGCCATCAAAAAGAATGAAATCTTGCCAGTTGCAACGACATAAATGGAACTAGACGGTATTACACTAAGCAAAATAAGTCAGTCAGAGAAAGACAAATACCATACGATTTCACTCCTATGTGGAATTTAAGAAACAAAACAGATGAACATAGGGGAAGGGAAGGAAAAATAAAATAAGATGAAAATTGAGAGGGAGGCAAATCATAAGAGGCACTGAACTCTAGGAAGCAAACTGAGGGTTGCTGGAGGGGACGTGGGTGAGGGGAAGGGATCACTGGATGATGGGCATTAAGGAAGGCACCTGATGTAATGAGCCCTGGGTGTTATATGCAACTGATGAATCACTAAATTCTACCTCTGAAACTGAGGAAAGAAAGAAAGAAAAAGAAAAGAAAAGAAAAGAAAGAAGAAAGAGAGAGAGAGAAAGGAAGGAAGGAAGGGAGGGAGAGAAGGAGGGGAAGGAAAATGTACCATGGCTGATCAGCAGTAATGATAGAAGAGGAATATGGCAGCCCATGAACCTCGTATTTGCCATCCAAGCCTCAGTTAAGGGTACAACCAACTTTCTATGAAAACAATAAAGGCCTCGCTTACCTAAACCATTAAATTTATTTCAGCAAATCTAACTAATTCCAATTTCCAGATAATATTTCATTATAGGGGCGCCTGGGTGGCTCAGTCGTTAAGCGTCTGCCTTCGGCTCAGGTCATGATCCCAGGGTCCTGGGATCGAGCCCCGCATCGGGGTCCCTGCTCCGCGGGAAGCCTGCTTCCCCCTCTCCCACGCCCCCTGCTTGTGTTCCCTCTCTCACTACGTCTCTGTCAAATAAATAAACAAAATCTTAAAAAAAAAAAAAAAAAAAGGATTTCATTATAAACCAAGAAGTTTATGGACACAGAAAATACTCTTTAATAAACGAGGTTGAAACTTCCTATAGAGATAGGTCAAGATGCTGAAAAGGCCAAAGGCAGCTGATTACCATACAACTTGTGAAGTGTCCATTTTCTCTAACATGTTCAGAATCTCAAGAACTTGAAAGAGTTTTTCCAAATCTAAGTTTGCTTTTGTACTCCCCAGTATCATGCCACTGAAACTGCTCTGCTCATTTCCTCGTGTAACATACAGGAGTTACACCACCAATCTATCATAACTCAGCCAGTGACAGAATCATTTCACCAACCTACAACAAAATAATACCTAGCAAAGGGGCGCCAGGGTGGCTCAGTTGTTAAGCGTCTGCCTTCGGCTCAGGTCATGATACCAGGACCCTGGGATCAAGTCCCATGTCAGGCTCCCTGCTCTGCGGGAAGCCTGCTTTCCCCTCTCCCACTCCCCCCTGCTTGTGTTCCCTCTCTCACTGTGTCTCTAGATGATAAATAAAATCTTTAAAATAATAATAATACCTAGCAAAAAATTTTGTGTAGTAGTAATGGAAGGTTATTCACACAACTCTCACAAAAGGATGACCGAAAACTCGGACGCAGAGCCAAAAACACGTAAGCAAGTAACTATGGCTACATGCCCCACACAGAGGCTGAAACCCTTGAAAGAGTTCTCTCTACTGTTGCCTCTCATTTCTCCTCTCCCATTCTTTCTGGAGCCTGTTTTCACCAAGCTCCTCTCCCACACACACAAATAGTTATTAATGTCACCAACGACCTCTACGTTGCTAAATTCAATGGTAGATTCAAGGTCCTCGTCTTACTTGACCTATCAGCAGCACTGGATGGAGTTGATCCTTTCTTTTTTTTTCTTTTTTAGATTTTATTTATTTATTCATGAGAGACAGAGAGAGAAAGAGGCAGAGGGAAAAGCAGGCTCCCAAGGAGCAGGGAGCCCGATGTGGGACTCGATCCCAGGACCCTGAGATCATGACCTGAGCCGAAGGCAGACGCTTAACCATCTGAGCCACCCAGGCACCCGGAGTTGATCCTTTCATATTAATTGAAACATGTGCTTCACTTGGCTTCCAAATTACCACACTCACCTGATTTTCCTTCCACCTCACTGCTGACCCTATCTTGCTGGTTCCTCCTCATCTCCCGGCATGAAATAGTCCCTGCGATCAGCATAAACTTTCTATCTACTCTACTCCCTTTGTGATCTCAGCTGAGTTCATGGCTTTAATAGCATCTATATGCCAAGAATTCCCAAATACACATCTGCAGCCCGTACCTCAAGATGCACGTACATACTGAGTACATCTCTTAAGACACCTCCTCTTGGAGGTCTCAGACGTAGCACATCCCAAACTGAGCTCCTGATCGCCCCCAGCACACCCCCTACTGCTCTGTCCTCATATCAGTTAATCACAATTCAATTCTCCCAGTAGCTCAAGCCAAAAACCCTGGCTGGAGTCACTGTTTACTTCTCTTCACTCTCCATATTCAAACTACCAGCAAATCCCATCAGTTCTGTCTTCAAACTATATATCCACATAATCTGGTTTTTACCTTTCCTTCCCATCTTTCCTTTTCTTCCTTACATTTCCCATGACTGAGATGTCAGCTTCCGAGGAAGCAGGGCAATGAGGATATGGGGCTCTGTGTCATCATCTGTAGCAATGTGCCTGGTATCCAAGGAAATGGGATGGCGCGGGAGAGAGGGGGCTGTCCAGTGTCAGTGGCAGCACGCCCAGGCTGCCAAGGAAATGGGGCAGGAGGGAGAACAAAGTGGCAGATGGAAGAGGCAGCCTGAATGTTTATGAGAATGATGACAGTGAACAAATGGCTTAATCAATTGAGCAAATAATGAAATACATCTAAAATACCTGGAGCCAGGTTTCTCACTGTCCAAGAAAGTATGCAAAAACATGGAAAGGAAAGAGCGTAAGAGAAACCTAAGATGTTGGACTGGCATTGGAAGTATTGGTATGAGCCCATTTCTAAAAAATATATGCACACAGAAGAGTTATAGATGTTTGTATACATGTGTATATCTATACACACACATACATGCCCTAGTTTTGTGGGCTGAAAGGTCCTAGAACAGTGATATCCCAGTAGCAATGAAAATACTCTGTGGTCAAATCCTGGATAATAACTGCCATCCTCCACTAAATGAAAGTCCATTAAAGAGCTCTTTGGAGAAATGGCTGATTCCAGAGCTGAAGCAGGGAAAGCGCAGGACAAGAATGGAAAATCTTGTTGTGACAGAAAATAAGGAAATTCCCTGAGAATGATTGGAATATGTCAAAAGAAAAAAAAAGAGCTGATATGAATGGATTCCCACTGGTCAAACTGGGGAAAATCTGGGCATCGAAATAAAATGGGAGTACCAAATTTTAACCCACTGAATCAAATAGGAGTCAGTGGGTCCATAATGAAATAAATACACACATACACACACATTACAGAGAAAGCTCTTTCTTACAGTACAATGTCAATTAATAAATGCATACAGAATGACAGCAGAGATAATCACCATTTGGCATTAGAGTGGTAGTTGATATAGGCAGGAACTATCAGTGGAGGCTAGGGCTGGTGGGTGAAGGTTTAACAAGGAACAGGATATTGGTGTGATGTCAGATTATCTCCCCCAAAACAGCAATCAAAGACAAAAGGGGAAATAGTGACTTTACAGTGGTGAAACCTGGCAGCTACCAACTGGAGCATGTGATCAAGATGAACCTCACCTTGGGACAGATCAACATAGTGTTGTGATTCTCTGAGAAGAGCACAGTGTGATATCTCTGGCATTCCAGCCACGGATGCATGGCCTGATTCTGGTCATGAGAAAACCGTGGGCAGACCCAGATTTAGGGTCATCTTGGAGACTAAAAGACCTGTATTCTTTAAGACTGTCAAGGGCACAAGAGACAGAAAAAGACTAAGAAACCATTCCGGACTGAAGGACATTAAGGAGACCTGACAAGTAAAAGTGATGTGTGTTTGCAGGGAGGATTCTGGTCGAGAAAAGAAAAGGAGCCATTATTAAGACAGATGGCAGGGTGCCTGGGTGGCTCAGTCGTTAAGCGTCTGCCTTCGGCTCAGGTCATAATCCCAGGGTCCTGGGATCAAGCCCCGAATCGGGCTCCCTGTTCGGTGGGAAGCCTGCTTCTCTCTCTCCCACTTACCCTGCTTGTGTTCTCTCTCTTGCTGTCTCTGTCAAATAAATAAATAAAACCTTAAAAAAAACAAAAGAAGAAGATAGCAAGAGGGGAAGAATGAAGGGGGGGAAATCGGAGGG